ACACTGGATATTTACCGACATAATGTTTACAGAGGAGGTAAGTGGTCATACACATGTGAAAGTCTGTGAAGGAGTTTGTGTGTCTGTATTTACTCTCCATCCTACAAACCACAGTCTCAGCAGGCACAGGCTGAGAGCAGGAGTGTGTGATGAGTTTGTCCACCTTTGAGAGCTCCTAGGGGGGATAGAAGTGTGTGGAAGACGGCCTCTGGCTGTGCAGGTGAAGACCGGGAGTGTGTGATGAGTTTGTTCTGTTGATCTCTGTAAGCGAAGCGGAGTGAGGAGGATGTTGAGAATGCGTATAAAATGTCACTTCCTGGAGCTTTCGCGGAAAATACGACCCGGGGAAAAATTTTATACAGGCAACACAGATAGACAGTGAACATCTACTTTTTCACATCAGTTAACTGTTCGCTTATTAATGGGCGATTAAAAAAAGATTTATACAAAAGTTACATATAGAACCTTTAATATAGGATAATTAATAAACATGAGTTGATGCCTCTGAAATGCTTCATTTATGAACATAATTTAATCAAACATTAACATTTTACAAAATTAAAAATATATCAGAAGAACAATATATAATTGCGTAAATACTGGTTCATTAGAGGCGATGCCTGCCTGACTGCCCATCACTTCACTTAAACACCTTCTTGAACACATCATACATAACCTGTTATTCAGAAATACATTCTTTATTTTATTTTATTTCATCGGTGCAGTAAACATGACAAGAGAGAAGTGATAAAGACAAGCAAGAGGGAGACATTACCAAACAGACAACATACACACATACAATACATGCCATCACTGACACTATCAATGATGATAGTATTACTAAAAAAACAATAATAATAAACATATAAATAAATGTTTAAAAAATGGTTTACCCTAAATTATTTATCATTATGAAAATAAACATATCTATAGATACACACATATGTGTATGAGTGATCTATCAGGTTACAAAAACACTGCTTCTAACTGACAAGTGTTTTAGGCTATAAGAAGCCATCTATATAGTTGAACAAATTAAATTGTCAAGTCTTGGAATATCTTGTCTGGATCAACTTTTTGAGAGCACTCTGAGGTTAGATTTTTTTATGGACTGATACTGAGAATATTTATTCTACTTTGAAATTTGAACTTAAATGCAGGACACTTTTAGTTGGGTTTACAAAAAAGAGGCAGCCCCACATAAAACCACAATTGTTATTTTTTACTCCTTATTTTTCTGTACAAAAATTAACAAACAAAAATGAGTTCATTTGTGAGCTTTATGGGGGGATTTTGTTTTATTCAGGGGTACAAGGCTCACATTTTGCCCTCTGTTAAATCTTTATTGCAATTTTTAGGCCATGCAAAAGCCTGAGCTTCGTAACAATGCACAGATGTGGGAGTGGTTTAAAATGTCTCATTGAACTCTTCAAAGGACATCAAATAAGAAGACATCCTGAATCTATAACCCTTTAAATCTGTAAAAGAACAGACTTTTTCCAAACTATGCATATACAGTCTTTGGATGGAAGGTGTGTCGGACAGAAGAAGGTGCTTTTGCTTTTGTTTTGTGTATGAATTGATTTCTTCAGAGCAAAGAACCTACTTAAAACAAACCACACTTCAAACAGACCATGGTTTATAATATAAAATCTCAAAAACTACTGTATCAATAGTAAAAACTGAGGGTGAAGAAGTGTGAGAAATATGTAATAAGTTCTTCTACTTTCTGATGAACTGACCACCATTATTACATGTGAGTACATTACGGGGACAGGAGGACAGGTATTACGTTTTCCATTTTGATTTGTAATTTGCAGTCAGATATGGCTTTTCAGCTCCTCATATATTGACATCCTTCATAAAACTGTGATTTTCCCAAAGCTTGTACTCAACATAATAACTGAAAGCTAGAACATATGAAAATGTCACAATAACAAAGGACAAGGGAACAAAATACCTGGCAGCACAGAAGAGGTTCATCAAAAAAAAGAGAAGAAGAGAGATGGTGAAAGAAGTTGGCTGTGTGTCACCTGGCAGAACGAGAAGGCGATTTAATAACTCTGAACAAAGCTGTTCCCTCTGGCAAGTCAAACCTCTAATTACAAAACAGGATAGGAGACCGAGGCCACCCAATATTTCCTCGCCAACCTTGATACAAATCATACAAAGCAAATGAAGCGTTTAAAAAGGAATGGAGAAGAGCAGGAGCATTTGCAGTGCGAGTCGCTGAGAGAGGAACCTCGACAGGAGGTAGAGGAGACAAGTGAAGCGGGGCGGAGGAAGAGGGACGCTGAGCCGTCCAGGAACAGGCAGGAAAATTGATGGAGCCTGGGGAGGCGATTGATAGTTAGAGGACAGGAAGCAGGCTGTAAGGCAATTATCACTATCTCTGCCGTATGATTTAAGAGCGTCTGAGTGTGTAATACTGTGAATTAATCTCATCCAAGGTAGATACATCAGGAGCCCATTTCTGTCTTAAATTTCAATTATTCTTCTCCATCTCTGGAAAATGTACTTTAGAGATGATCTAATTAGGCTGCTTATGAAATTCCACTCAGCCAGGATATAAATGTTTTGTGTGTGTGTGTGTGTGTGTGTGTGTGTGTACGTAGAAGAGAGACAGCTTGATGAGACAGCTACATTAAATGAAAGCACAGAGTTATAGCCAGTTTAATCATCATGAGCAAAGCTCCAGACAAAATCAACAAAAGGCACGATGCTATGTAAACCCACACAAACTTCCACATATTTAAACTTCTATAGCAATAATCAAAAAAGGATATGTGCACCAAAACAAAATGTGTCTTACCTGCAGCCAAACATGCACATACAGTACAGAACATGTTCATAAATAAACCAAATGTGCCACCCACCAGGCTACGACACAGAAAAATGTCTCCAACTATAATTCGCAGAGGAACGTGTGCATGAATAACACAAGATTTAATCATGTTATATTATTCTTACTCTGTTAAGCTAATGTTTACAGCAGTAATTAACTTTTGCTCATTTCCACTGGAGGTTTAATTCAACAAAGGAAAAGGCATACAGTGATTGTGTGGAGGCTGCACATGGTGCATAATGAATTGTCTTTAATGTTGCAACATCAGAGCTTTGCAATAGAAAAGTGTCTTAATTGACCTGAAAGTTCATAATTCAAGTGCTGTGACTGATAGGTGTGATACATTTATAAGAAGAAACGCAGGTCATTTGTGCCCCCTGATGGATATATTCATTCTTGTAAACACTGGTGTCATGGGATAAAATTAATCCCTCCATTTATTGAGCTTGTCGCTCCAGAACAACTCTGAATAATTCAACTTTTATTTTCCGGGCCAGACACCATTAAGAGCTCTGTGCTTACAAGGGAAGAATAATCATGTTGTTTTCAATATTTGACTCATGTTTACTGTCCAGATTAAAGAAAAGTCATTTTGTCATCTTTTGTTACCGTGACAGTGAGGCTTTTATAATGGCACATTCATCAACCTACAGAAGTAAACAGTCAGACTTATTACGGATTTCTCTTGTCAGATCTTAAACAACCTTAAATCAAATATAAGCCTCTTAATTTAAAACCTTTGGTTTGCTTATCATTAGTTATACAAAGACCATTTAATGACCTTTACTGTAAGGTTACTACTGAACCTATTAGCCACTAAAATGACTTTACTACAGTATTACAGGATGAGTCTGTGTGTGAAATGGCTAACTTTAGAATGCCTTTATTTTATCTGAGAGGTTTCTGTCATATCTTTAGTTGACTGTTTCATACTTTTTAAACATGATTGTGACCAAAATCACTTTTATAACAAGTTGCTAAGCCATTCAGCAACTTTCTCTACATTCCACATCTTTCACAGAGAGCCCTTTTACCTCAAATTTCCTCTACAGCGTTCAGAAAACGAGTAAGTTATCTCAAGCTGCTGTGACTTTCACGTTTCTAACTAAATAACAACACTGCCCTCTGGTGGTGGTGAAACTATAACTGGTAATAAATCTAACACCTGTGAGAAACAGTAGACCCTTTTCCTGTATATTATTCATTTTTGCCACCTTTAACCTAGTCAAAAGCAATCCACTGACTGTAATACACAACTTTATATCAAGGATGAGGGAATTTATTATTTGCATTAAGAACAGCTATATTGTCTTCAAAGTGAAAAGACTTCATGCTCAGGTGAGACAAAACCTTATACCTTGTCCTTGTCATGTATTTTTGTAGTTTTTGCACTGTGTAGGGAAATACAACCTGAAATGTACAAAGACATGAGTTTCAATCACATCTTGTCGGAATCTGTGATCTAAATAAGCATAAAATACTTTGAAACATGAAATTAATTACCGAAACTGTAGTGTAACCACTACAAAAATAATAATAAAGCACCAATTTGGTAATTATTTTAAGTTAAATGAATAATGCGTGTGTTTTAAAATACTATTCCCAGTTTTTATTTTAAGATGTTTATTTATTTTTTTCTTTTATTGGAGAGATAGGACTATGCATAGAGTTGGAAATCAGGGAGAGAGAAAGTGGAGAATGACACGCTGGAAAGGTGCCGCAAGTTGGATTCGAACCAACGACTGCACCACGAGAAGAAAGGCGTCTGATTGATTGCACAGCCTCAGTTGAAAATGTTCATTTGGGTTGATGAAAATCACGTTTTTATATCTTAATTATGATTTCTGTATTTCACCAATACATTTTAGACAATCAGATTTTTTTCGGGCATCACTTGGATATCTGATTCCTGAGATATGTTGTGTTTTTTTTTTAAAGTGTGTTGACCAAGATTCTTCAAATTATGAACCCTCACAAAAATGTAAACACACATTCAGAAGATTGATGACCCAATAAACCTCAGCATCAATCTGCTGTCTAAATGGAATACATACATTTAGTTTCACGTTGCTAACATTGTCATTCATTATTCCCTTCTTTGCTTTGATACAGTCCTTATATAGAATCATTATCTGTAAAAGAATAAAAGGACGACTTTCAAGTTACTGTAACACTTTATTTTCTTAAATACCACAGAATATTAGTACAGTCAGTCACACTTATTTTCAGGAGGCAGAAAACATTCTGGTCCCTTTCACCCTGCTTTCTACAAAGGGGGTAAAGGGAAACATTGGGTGGCATCAGAGGCTACGTTAACACACTAATTCACTTTTACAGTACAGAGAGGCGACCACAGTCAGGTCAGGAGGTTTAACTGGCAAATAAGATAACCTGTTAGAGTATCCATGTTGCAACCAATGATCTGTTTAGTTCTAAACACTGGACACTCACCAGCTGACCAAAGGTAGTTTCTCTCTCACACATGGGACACAAATGATAATCCCAGTAATTACTGTTTTGGTCCTTGAACTGTCAGGACAATATACTTGTCATGGAAGGCTTTAGGCTTCATTTACCAATTGGATATCATTAGCCTTCAAATGTGGCCTTCCAATGAAGCATTAGGAGTACATTTATCAAAAATAGTCTTGTAGCATTAAATCCTCAATCTAGTTGTCAAACAATTTCTGAACCATGCACAACCAGAGAGGCTTCTGTTTGAACAGGTTACACCATGTTATTCTGAACTTTTCCAAAAGTCAACACAAACCAGAATAGCCGCATGAACAGCGGATCCCTCCATGCATGTAAACATAGCCAGTGTGGTCAGCTACAGTATGTACAGTGTTGATTCAGGCAGTGCATGATGAGACCAGGTCAGTGGTGCCAAAAGTCAACAGTAAGAAGCATCATATTTTTTTTAGGAGCTTTAAGGGTAAAATCTCACAAGTATGTCTGCAGTTATGTAAAGACATCATTTTGAATCTTTAGTCTCTGGATTCACCGGTCAGTAGTACCATCACTGAAGCAACGACAGATTCATTGGCACATTAAACACCATCATGAACAAAGAGTGCTGTTATGAATACACATTTTGTGGGATAAAAATCTTAGCAACATTATCAGTGAGTCATATCTGTGTGATATTTTTATAACAATAGTCATCAAAGAAAGAGGAGGGGGGGGGGGGTGGCATTACAGTGCAGCAGTGTGACATGATGAATTCATAGCCATTGAAGTCTGAAAGTCGGGAGCACACTGAACACATCACACTCTCTTAAAGGACACAGCACAGCAGGAATGTGCTGAACTCCACCATAAAAAACAAAAGGATGCATTCAGGATAAGAGTGCTGTTTGGTGGAGAGAAAATAGGATGCAAATGACTTTGAGGGGGAATAAAGCTTATCTACAAGGTAAGAAAGGAGTGCAAGGCTAAGCTTTCTTAGACATCCACACACTTAAATTCCACAGTATATACCAAAAGACATGCGTAGAGGCACATACATATTCATCATACAAAAACAAAAAACATACCAAAAGCAGAACAACAGTCAGACACGGTTCCTGTGACTCAAATCTGATCGACCTACAATGAAAACAAAGCGCGCAAAAAAGCACTGACATCATGGGAGGTGAAAAAGGCAAAAGCTGAAGTTCCAGCCCTTTGAATAAAAAAAGATTTACATTGGTAGACAACAAAGAGACATCAGTAATCTTCCCTCCATCTCTTTACCAATACTGAGTGCCAGCCTCATTTTCAAATGTTATTTAACAGAATGAGAAATCCTTTTGATATATATATATATATATATATGATATTAAGTATTTGGTTTTCAAATTGGGTTCTCAACTTGCAATGAATATTTGTCAATCCTCTGTGGCACAGTGTATTTATAAATTGAAATAAAGTCCCCGCTTTGATGCCTAAAGAGAGGGGGCAGAATCAAAAGGGAGAAAACTTGAAGATCAAAAATGTTTGTCAAGACCAAAGACATTCATCGGATTAGAATCAGTATCCGTCTGCAACAGACAGGTAGTTTCAGCACAGAAAAAAAAAAGAAATGCTTGCATCATTCAAGGCTCCACAGTTTCATTAACAGAGTGAAAATATCCAGAACACTTTTTGTAAGAGGCCATTTTTGGAAACTAGCTTCTTAATTTGTCTGCTGTCTAAACTTGGTATGTATTTTTTTAGGCTGAGGTGAAAATACTTTTCTTAAGACTCTGCCTTAAAACATCCTTACAGACTCATTAAGGAGCAGAATAAAGATGCAAGAACTTGATCCAGTGTTTAAGAACAACCTGTAATACTTCAGACACACCATGACAGTATTTTTTTCTTACTGTAAGTCATAAAAACAACTTGAATCCTTTTTTTTTTTTTATTAACTCACTGGTAGTTTGGCAGATCACATGAAGAAGAAATGATCATAAGTCACTGTCACAAACTGGTAATTGACAAAAAATTGAATAAATAAATGGTCACTATAGAGTAAAATTATCTAGACTTTTTCCCCCTCATTTCATTTCTTACTGCTCCTTCTCGTGGAGAGAGGCACGAACACGCTGGCGCACATAGAAAGCTGTAAGAGCGCTGCAGCAGGCAGTGAAAATGAAGAGTGCAACAGCATCGTGTGCGAGATCCCCGTGCAGACGCTCGTACAATGGCCGGCGCTCTGTGAAGTCTGTTTTTAGCGCCTCGATCTGTGTCAGGGTGCACACTACCACGAACACGTGGAAGAGCTGGTGGCCCTGCCCGATGAAGTCACACCTTCCGGGGAACAAACTCTCCGGGTGTGGGCAACAGAAGAAATAGGCGCTGATGAGGAAAAAGATCACGTGGTAGAAATGGTACGCCACGACGGGGTCGGAGCAGCCCTCCTGGTAGCACTTGTAGATGCGGTGAACCACCGGGCTTATGTCTAAGCAGTAAGCCAGAGCGGAGGGCACCACCTGGAAGAGCTTGTTGGCAAACTTGGGCAAAGCAGGACTGGCATACTTTCCATAACAGCAGCCAAAGCAGGTGAGCCAGGCCAGGAATGCTGCAGCAGGTAAGAAGAGACCCTGCACTTTAGTGTGCCACTCCTTCTCAATGGCGTAGTAGTAGTGAGCCAGGGCACTGCCATACTGGTAGACTGACACACCCACATAGTCGAGGAAGTAGAAGCTGTAGTAGGAGAGCTCAGATTTTGCAGAGAGGAGGTGAGCGAGAGCGCTGAAGGAGAGGTAGGTGAAGGCTGCGAGGAGCACGATGAAGAGCGGCTGAGCGTGAGGGTCTCGCAGGAAATCCACCGTCTCCGAGATCTCCTGCCACTTGACCAGGATGATGAGGGCAGCAAGCAGGTGGGTCCACACGTTGAGGGTCTCGTTGTGCCTTTGGAAGAGGGTGAGGAAGTAGTATCGCCAGCTGTGGTCTGTCTGCCTGTAGCCAGCGAAGATGTGACGCTCGCGGAACACCCAGGGAACGTCTGCCTTCTTCACAGTGCAAGGCAGGGTGGGAAAGGCCGACTCCAGCAGCTGAGGGATCTGACGCAGCTGCTGTGCATTGATGAACAGGCGACCAATCTGCTCCATCACCACCGTTGCCATGGCAACCTTGAGAACAGAGAAGAGGGTGGGAAAAAACGGAAGCAACAGTCAGTCAATATCTGTCCAGCTTTTAGCTGTTGTTGTCAACAGGTCTGTTTGTGTGCATTTGTGCGTGTATAAATGTGTGTTTGGATTAGAGTAGTGTGTGTGTGTGTGTGTGTGTGTGTGTGTGTGTGTGTGTGTGTGTGTGTGTGTGTTCCTTCCTTAAATACCACTACCAGCACAAAGCCCAGAATTAATTTGTTGAAATATATTATTTCTCTCAATTTTAGAGGAAAACATTCAACAATACCTTAATGGTTTGAGGGTAAGCTATGACTGTGAATTAAATATACGTTGTTCTTTGAACAATAAAAAACAGCTGATGATGATGTAACATGGGGCTTTGGGAAACGTACTGGGCTCTTCCACTTTGGTTTTTTTGTGTGTTTTTTTTTCATATTTTTTTTAGAACAAATAATTGATCCAGAAGTGATAAATCACCTGATTAACTGATTATAAAAATATTTTTTAAAAGTACTATAATTTGTATCACTATTTCATTCTTCTTATTTGGTTGAAACAAAGTAAAAGACTAGATTCAAATGACTATTAAAAATATATATGTATTTCATCAATGACCTTTAGTCTTCCTCTAAATAAATGTAAATGCTCCACTATGTCCAGTCCAGTAGAGTACACTGTGCTGGATACTGAAGCGGATGTAAACTACAAATTGGATTGAGGTTAATGAGAGTGCTGTTACATGCCAAAAAACTAAAACAGTAAGCTGCAATTTAAAAATGCTCTATAGAAATGATTTGCAGCATTGTGTGATAATCCTGAGTGCTGGAAACTGACAGCACCCTCCTTCCCGTCCAATATGGGTCATATGATGAGTTGCCAATGACAACATTATTGATTAGTTGCAGCTTCTCCTGTTTCAGAATCATACATGGATTTTTATACACATTAATGGCTATGACTGTTAGTGTTGGTGGCAGAAGTAGTGCTGCTTGTTCTGTTGTTGTTTGGTTGGCTGACCATCTGACTGGTGTCCCCAAACGTTTAATCTGCTACCACATTATGAATCATCTTGAAGGACAGTTTCACACCACAGGGACTCAGATGGAGTACAAATGTGACCTCAGCTGTCCTCCTTAAAGTCATAAATTATGACAATGAGGTTCTTCTTCTCAATCCTCAGTAAAGGTGATTGAAAAATGGAGATTGCTTCCTGAAACTGTTATAGAATCAATATTCCTACAGCACCCTCAGAGGGAGGATTTAGAAGTTTTAATGCAAAAGAAATAATAAATTGGTAAATGTTTCGACAACCAAGTGATACTTACATAATGAAGAAAAAAAACACAGAAATGATCAAAGATGACAGTTGTCTGTTATTGGTTTATCCAGCCTAATATTTGAGGAGATGGTAAAAGATAGAGGAATAAAAAAATTGTATTTGAGTTGATTGCATAAGGACAATACAGAGAAATGAGGTGATGTGCTGACGGTTTGTAGATATTCCCAGTTTTCAGCTCTTTCCCTTTAGTTTATAAATAGTTCAAATAAATCTATCATATCAAAACCACAACTACTGCAATGCAATGAAATACACATTATAAATACTCCACTAGTGCCACTACAATGCACACCATAACATACCAAATACAGTGACCTCATTCCCATCCTACAAGGGGTGAAGGCAGCTGACAAAAGGCCTGCACCCATGTCCATTTGGGCTTTTAGAGCAGTGTCAGGCAAAATGTTTCATAAAATACTACAAGTCTCTGTCTGTGCAGTTAGATGACACTCTGCATGACTGCTTGTTCCCTGCCATATCCAGTCGAGCTAGTCCCTGGACTTACCCTTACGTAAATACACAAGAAGGAAAATCGGGAAAGATAAGCATGTTTAAATAATGCCTTCCAACCTTCAGGATTTTATGGTTTGGTAGAGTAACGCAAATATGTGCTGTTTCTCTTCATTGTTTCCCCTAAACACGTGGTTAAAATCAGTTATTAATGATGTGATGATCTCTCTTGCTGGTTGTATTTCAGCTCCAGTGCACAGTGATGAGAAAGCATGGAGACAGTAGCTCCACACAGAGCAGGCTGTAGCTGTGTGGGATGAACACAGGCCGACGTTCAGGAGGAAAAGGCGTGGAGTGATGAATGGGAAGGGATTACGTAACATAACCCCATCCGTCCGTCCACACCCTCCGTTTCCAGCAAAGGGTAGCAGTCCTTTAAAATATTAATGGGTGAAGAAAATCTCCCGGCTAAAACAAAGAAAGCATCTAACATAGTGTGTATTAAACAGTGGCCTTTAAGGGCCTGATGCAGTAAATTCACACCAGCAAATCGTGCACCTGATCGACATGTCTGTGGAAATATGACATCCCAGTGTCGGAAATCAATTTGCATTCCCTCTTTCCTCCGAGCCTCGAGGCTTGTCTTAAATCCACGACCATCACAGGCCTCCTCTGTGTGCGATGTATGATGTGTTTCATTGAGATACCGCTGCACGTTTAGATGGTTTTCCGCATCTGAACGTATTTCACGCTATGTCACTGTGCAATTTCACACAAAACACTACCATGGATTTACCAAATACATTCATAACACCATTACGATTGACGTAGGCCTACCTGTAGAGAGAAGAATCAACCCAGAGTGTTTATGTAGCCGGTGTTGAGTGATTTAGAGCCCTACAGAATACAGATAACATTGTTTGAAGGGGTGAACGGAGAGAGGATGTCCGTGACGGGAGCTGCGCCTGGCGGCTCTCACAGCGCAGCTGCCGGGAGGACACAGGAGTTGTGACAGGCGGCTGTCTCGGCCAATCAGAATGCACGATACAGATCATCGCTGCTGACGCAATACAGTTTTATCCAATGGCAGCAGGAGCCTTGCCTATCAGCCCACCCCTTCTTAACGGAAATTCTGATACTACCGAAATAATGTACAGCTGAAGTATTTCTATCAGCAATGGACATATTTTATCTTGTGCTGAGTTCATATTCAAGAAACTACTGATGGTCAAAATTACTACTAAAATATATTCATGTAAACGTAGTGTTTTAAACTCTATCATTGTTATGAATTTCCCTATGCATTACTGTTTGTTGATATTGTTAATATTAGTCACATTTCTACAATTTAAACTGGCATTGTTGCTGTATGATTCTGTTATATGTTGTTATTTTCGCCATGTCTGTGTCTTACTGTCTGTCTGCCTGTCCAGTAAAGTAACCTGTTAAAAGGAAGTGTTTTTCTTGCCACTGTTGCCAAGTGCATAGTCATGGTGGTACAGTCCAACCTGCTTTATGTGTTAAGGTTATAAAGATGTTTGTTGTGATTTGGACCTATCAAAAATAAAATCACTTAACTCATGAGGGGTCTTTATGATTAAAATATGGATATTTCCTCAGTCTATTAGAATATTCACTCAAGACAGTTATTTAATACTTTTCTTGAAGTCAAAATGCCATTACAAGAGGTTTAACCAGACCAGAATTCAAATTTTGCAAATACACCTCCTTTAAACATGTATTGTTTGCCCCAAATGAGCTAATTGGAATGAAAAGAAAATCACTATCCTGTAGATAATGAATTGAACAGTTGCATAAAAATCCCAAATATATCGGAGGTCCCAACACTTGGGCTACATATTATACCTGAGTGTAATGTGTGTAAAATGTAAAATGACCATGTTAACCAAATTGAATATCATTTGTTTTTTTCCTGCTTGATTAGTCTGTGTCTATCCCTTTATCAGCATCCAGTTACAAAGTTCCCCTTGTTAGACTCAGTGTGCCTGAAAGATCTTCATTGTTTCCTGAGTCCAACTATCGTAGAGCATATTTACCCAACAGTGATGGGTTCAGGGCCTTCTGGTTCTTTATCCACTTAACGATGATCTGGGTCAAGGCCTTTGTACACAAGCAAAAAGTGTCAACAGAGGCTTATTAAAATGAAAAAGCAGATTTAAATTGAGTAAAAAAAACTGAAAGTAATGATCATAAGCAAGATTTTGAAAAACAGAACAGGCTGAGCAATGGTTCTTGGAGTCAAACCAGTCTTTGTCCCGTGTGTTGACAGCAGAGAAACACTTCTCGATGGGACAAGACTCCAGCAGTTTCCTCCCCACTCATGACAAAGATGGGATTGTGCAGCAGCAGATGTGTGTGCATAACAATGCAGACAAAACTAGCTGTGTATTTTTTCCTGCTACACTTTTGTTGCTGTGGCCACAAGAGCATTTCATTAATAGAAAAACCCCTATAAACAACTTAAAGTGAGAGGGAATGATTGGTACCTCAGGTTTGATTATCAATGTGCAACTTTACAGTTTTTTTGTTGGATTGTGGAAAATTCATACAAGTGAGCTGAGTAAAATGCTTGTCCATTGATGCAGCCATGTGTGTGGTTTCCACCAATCCTAGAACCCTTATTTGTAACATCTGTCAAAGGTTTTACAGCTCAAAAGGACATGAGTTGAACCAGTTACTCCTAAAATTAATCATATATTACTATGAAGTGTTTTAAAACGCCCAAAGTAAACTGTCCCTACTTCTGCCTGTTTTCTCAGCCACCTCTGGAGCTTTTAACAAGTCAGTTTGCATCACTGCCACTAGGTGTCAGTAGTGTCAAAGTATTACTGATGGTACTAACCACATTATATGGCAGGTAAGATGGTCTCCTCTTCATTTCAAATTTTATCATCTTCCACCACATAGTACAGAATTTTCATCTTCAACTTTCATATGGAAAGAATATATCCAACACAACAGACAACGATTAAATTGTGGATACACACTTTAATGCCAGAACCTTGGTATCTTACAGTATATCTAAACAGTACAGTACAGTACAGTATTATCAACAGTTTGGAACATTATTATTAAGCACTGTAGTATGAAGGACAAGGATTGATTCATATCAATGAAATGCATTGTAATGGAAAATATAGTTCAGACCTCAGAAAAAACAGTGTAGCTAGCTGCCCACAAGAATTCTACAAGTGCAGAAAAGTCAGACAAAATCAGGACCCAGTCTAAAACTGAAAAGACTTTAATTCTATAGCATACTGAGAACTAGTTAAAGAAAACCTTGAAAAAGTCAGGTAAAAAAAATTAAGCTTATCTTTGGAGATGTAACTGCTGTTTTCAAATTACAAACAAATTAACTTTCCCATCGCCTTCTTGTTCTTCACCTCTTCCAGTTTCTTGTCCTGTTGGTGTTAGTAAACAAAAGAATCACATCACATCAGTATTTATTATTACAACAAAAAGCATTAAGACATGTTGAAATGCAATTATCAACGTACTTTCTCCTTAAATTTTTCATTTTGAGCTGCCATCCATGCAGTGCGGTTCTCTTCGTATGTCTCCATCTTCTGATTGAGTTTCTCTTGTGCCGTCTTCTTAAAGTTGCAGCTTTCCTCGATGGCCTTCTGCTGAACCTCCTTCACATGCTCTTTTTTCTCAGCCAACTGTTTCAACACTTCAGCGCCCTGACTCTGACAAAATGAGAATTTAACATAACATGAGGTGATGAGGCTTCAGAGTTCATTTAGTAGTTAACAATTTTCAGACTTATGTTACTTTGCATTCACAATACCTTGCGTCTCTCTTCTGCAGCGTCCAGTTTTCTCTTAATCTCATCCAGTGATGTTTCCTTTTTATTCAGAGGGGACAATGGAAATTCCTTAGCATCTGTGTTTGAGGGGCTCAGGATGACCTCGAATGCGTGACCTGAGGCCCGCTTGTTCAGCTCCTTCACTTGGATATCTGCAAAACAGAATATCTGTAAAGCTATGGCAGATGTGTTATGATTAAAGGTCAAGGTTCAAAGTCCACAACACTTTGATTTTTTTTCTTCATCTCAACATTAGTCATTGCAACTTGATATATGACAATCCGTTGATTCATTATAAAATCTGTTGTTAATTCACTTAGATCAAGGATATCTTCATTCACTAGAATTATAGCAAATTGATTCTATTGAGACCCACTGACCCAGGATAATTAAATGAGGTTGGGCGGGGTAGGGTTCTATTAGAGGTCAGGAGGAAACAATAGTCATTGTTGAGTGGCAGCTTTTTTTCAGTTTTTTTTAAATATGAAAACAAGATGGAAATATATCACTTTTTAATGACTGCCTCTTTACAAATTGCCTTTGCTACTTGCTGCACATGCCACCTCAACAGACAGTTAAATTGTAGTGGTTGCGTTTTGTTTACATTTAAATCAAGACATTTATTCGCTTGAAGGAGCAATATGTAAGATACCTACTAAATTAAGTCATAAAATGACATTACTATATCATCAGACATTAAGGAACATGCTGTTAAAGTGCTGACTTCTTTCTCAACAATGTAGCAGCCAGTATGGTCTCCTCCTAAGTTTTGATTCAGGAATGGTCTGTTTTTGTTTTGACCAGAAGGTAAGCGGTTTTAAGGCACCCTGACGCAGTTTTGGACATCCCTGTGTTTCCCAGTTATGAGACCACTTATAACGGAAAACCAAAAGGGTTGCAGTGATGGACGCGGTACAGGCAAACTGGTTTAGATATAACTGATTCTACCTGACCTAAAAAGCCACTGCATTTTTCTGATAAACTTCATGACCAGAAACATGGTAAAAGTAGGATAAACATTGGAAATGCTTTTAAAAAAAAGGATAGAGGTTAGAGAGCAGAAAGGTTTCAAGCACGATGCAGAACTCATCTCACTGACACAATTCATGTCTTATTGAACACTTACCTCCACAGGTGTCCATTTCAGCAGGAATGATTCCTTTTTAATTCCACTAAAAACGAATAAGAAAATTATTGTCAAACAAATCAAGTCTAACTGTGCTCAGTGGATACGCCTTTGTTTCACTTTGGTCAAATGTGAATTTCGACATTTGAAAGAATGCAGCGCTGCAGTAACACAGCCATGTACTCTGATGGAGCTGAAGCAGACAGTCATAGCCCGTGTTTTGATAGAACAACGCTCAAGCATGCGAGCATTACTTTAAGAAAACACTTCTCTTCTCCTGCTATGACCTTTAGAATAAAAATACACGTTTTTCGGGCAATTAAGACAGGTGGATTATTTCTGCAATATACATACTTATGTCAATGTCTGGTAAAATGTGGATGCATTAAACCTTCTCAGGGTAAGGTGTACACACAAGTATGTTCTCTACAGTTGCGCGTTTTTAGCTGTTAGACTAGTCTGAACATGTCATGACATAACAGGCAAAACTAGATCTACACATCACTGATGTTATAAGCAGTGAAGTGAACTAGGACAGCAACTCAGGATTTTTCCTGCTTTCATAACTATCTGTGTATGAAAGAAAGGGAGTCTTTAATATTTATTTGTTGCAACAAAATAAGTGGAAATAACCATGGTGCACATATAGAAATGTTTGATAATTGCATTTAAGGTTGGTTTACAGCACATAATGTAAAATAATGGTGTTATGGAAGTTATATGGCATAGGAAAATAAAATTAAGTTAGATAGGTAATAGATGTACTCATATACCAATAACGGATCAAAATAGCTACATTTGACTGAATTATACTATTTAGACAATAAACTGAAAATACAGATGTTTGGTTGTATTTGTTAACAAATCTTTAGGCTCGTCAAAAAAAGTCGCAATGCCCATACCTACTCTGAACAGGATGTGTTTCTGCAAAAAGGCGGGGGTGGGATATAAGAAACAGAGTCGTTAAAACAAACAATCTTGAAAGTCGAAAGCATGAAATATCTTGAGGAAAAAATAATTTGATAAAATGAGGATGAAGAGCAAGATAATTGAGTTATAGACTCGAACACTAAAATGAGCTGGATTAGTTTACTGTCGTGTTTTCTCATACAGGATAACATAGTGTAGACTCCAGTCAAAACAAAGTGACAAACTTAGCGTTATTTTAAAGATATTGTGAAAATAAACGAAACTTATGGTAGGCCTACTGCTTTTTGAGTAATACAGCCTATTTTTTAAGAGTTGCTTGTATGTTATTACAAACAAAACGTGTCCATAACTATAAAGTCAGTTTACTCTTTGACTTTTAGTGATGCTCAACATCTTCATAACGTTTCAATAATTGTCTTAAAAGACCTTACAAAACATTGTTATAATAGTCTGAGAGCCTGGTTCAACATTAGCATAAAACCATTGTTCTCACCGTCAAGTGCTTTAGTTTGAAGTGCGCACACGACACGAGTCGACTTCTTCTTCTGCTGTTCTCATGCAGAATAACACCAACAACATCTGCACCTTCGCGCGAAAAGTTACTAACTCCAGACGTCACCAGAGGTCTTTGATTTCATTGGTCAAAATCCACCAATCACAACACGTCTTAAAACTGTAAGCGCCAGGATCAGACTCACACTACACAGTTAGAAACAAAGGCAGCACAGGCTGGTGGATGTCAGAGAAAGTACAGACCAGGTAACGTTAGCGTTATGTAAGAGGCAAACATCCCACCTGCTTTACCCAAGCATATGATTAAAGATAAACTTTTTGAAAGTATAATTGAAGGAACACTGGTGGTAAGTATCTCTGCAAAAAAAGTACATTGCTTTTAGACCTGCGGGATCCATGTTGTTTCGCCCCCCCCATTCGCAAAAAACGCATTTGAGTATCATTTGCATAACCTTCAGTCACTACCACAACAGTAGTCCATGTGAACTGAACAAAGATGCATTCAATGCATAAAAACCACCATATAATTAAAAACACAACAAGGTCACTTTTATTGTGAAGAGGTTGTAGCGAAGACTTATTTTGAAGAGGTTATAGTGAAGACTTTTATTTTGAAGAGGTTATAGTGAAGACTTATTTCTAAGAGGTTATAGTGAAGACTTTTATTGTGAAGAGGTTATAGTGAAGACTTTTATTTTGAAGAGGTTATAGTGAAGGCATTTATTGTGAAGAGGTTATAGTGAAGACATTTATTTCGAAGAGGTTATAGTGAAGACATTTATTGTAAAGAGGTTATAGTGAAGACTTTTATTGTGAAGAGGTTATAGTGAAGACTTTTATTTCGAAGAGGTTATAGTGAAGACATTTATTGTGAAGAGGTTATAGTGAAGACATTTATTTCGAAGAGGTTATAGTGAAGACTTTTATTTCTAAGAGGTTATAGTGAAGACATTTATTGTGAAGAGGTTATAGTGAAGACATTTATTTTGAAGAGGTTATAGTGAAGACATTTATTTTGAAGAGGTTATAGTGAAGACTTTTATTTCTAAGAGGTTATAGTGAAGACTTATTTTGAAGAGGTTATAGTGAAGACATTTATTTTGAAGAGGTTATAGTGAAGACATTTATTTTGAAGAGGTTATAGTGAAGACTTTTATTGTAAAGAGGTTATAGTGAAGACTTTTATTGTAAAGAGGTTATAGTGAAGACTTTTATTGTGAAGAGGTTATAGTGAAGACTTTTATTTTGAAGAGGTTATAGTGAAGACTTTTATTGTGAAGAGGTTATAGTGAAGACTTTTATTTTGAAGAGGTTATAGTGAAGACTTTTATTTCGAAGAGGTTATAGTGAAGACTTTTATTTTGAAGAGGTTATAGTGAAGACTTTTATTTTGAAGAGCAGCAGAGTATCCCCTCCGGTTGTTGTATTTAGCAGTACTTATCTCCTGACAGGGAAACGATAGTTGACTGTATTCTTCCCTTGGTTTCAACATTTTAAAGTAAATATGGGAGCTTGTCTGGCATTGTGCTCTGTAGCCAGCTGCGTAAGTATCTACTCTTCTTATGAATACTGTGTTTGTCGGCTTTTCTCACTTTCTCACGGTATTGTAATCGATACTGATGGTTAGCTTGAGGTTTAACAAAAGGCGTAACGTGAAACTCTTTAGACAGTCTTGCTATAAACAAGTTGATTAAAGTATGGACACGCTACTGCATACATGAAGAATAATTCAGTGTAGTGAGCTGCTGAATAAACAGGACAAAGAGATTGTGAAGGAGCAACAGAAAAGCTAGCTAGCCAGGCTAACGTGAGGGTATTTGACGTAAATGTTGCTGATTTATTGTCGTATTAAATGTATATGTTTTGGCTGTTTCTTAAGGAAGACAGCTCATGACTGTCTATAAAGTCGCTTACATAGTTTAAATAGGTCAAGTAGCAATATCCCTGTCTTGCTTGGTATCATATAAACAAGGTGGAGTCTGTCTGTCTATATGTGGACTGACTAGAAATTATTACACAAGCCAGGAATTAACTGTCTCCTATGTTTTGTTGACAAACTGGCTCTACTTATAACCCTGTCCTAGTCATATAGACATATGTGACTGTTAATTGATTTTGGAACCAGGACATGTCAAGATTAACAATTTATCAGCCAATATTTCTAATGTAGCAAAACCTGTTTGTGATTGGCATTCTGCCAAAGCAAACGCCTGCATTAATTTCACATTCAGTTTCAGCTTTAACTCTGTAATTTTTTGCCTCTCTCTCCATCACTCATAGGCCTCCTGTCTGTGTGGCTCAGCACCATGCCTGCTGTGTGGCTGCTGTCCCTCCTCCAATAACTCCACTATCACACGGCTGGTTTTCTCCTTCTTTCTGCTGCTGGGGACACTGGTGTCTGTCATTATGATACTTCCTGGAATGGAGGCCGAGCTTCAAAAAGTAACATCTATGGTTTAATTACATTTTTAAAAAATAAGATTTCTTAAACTAAACCACCCACTTGTTGTGCATGTGTTTCTTTTTCATACAATATTTCACTAATGTCAGCTATCTGTCTCTGAGATAAGGAAGTTACATATTAAAAGCTGCACAGCAGTCAAATGCTTCTTTGTACAAAATGAATGGCTTACCTATAAGGCAAGTTAAGTTTATTTATGTTGTACATTTCAGCAACAATTCTGTTATGTTGAAGTTTTTCACAATTTCTTTCTACTTGATACTTTCAGGAAGGCTTTATTATGATACAGTCTACATTAGACTTAAACTTAGACTTTCTTTATTGTCATTCAAACTTGTATTTTACAGTGCAGATAAGGACAAAATTTTGTTGCATTTGGCTCGTTGTAGTGCAGGATAAAAAACAGCAGCAAGTATTTACAAAAATAAAAATAAGGTGCAGATATAAATAGATATAAAAAGAAAAGCTATGAGTAAAATTACTATACAGATAAATATATTGCACGTTATATATTGTATTTTTCAGTCCAGTGAGATAGTCCTGTGTGGGGGTTTGAGGGGGAATGGAGGGATTATTTTTTCGTGTTCAAAGTCTTATGGCCTGTGGGAAGAAGCTGTTACAGAACCTGGAAGTTCTGCTTCGGAGGCTGCAGAACCTCTGGAAAGTCATTTATAATTTCCTGTTTTGTAGATTCCGGGACTCTGCCAAGGGGGATCTTCTATACCTGGTTTGGAAAACCACGTTAAATGTGAAGTCATTGTGGGCTACAAGTCTGTGTACCGGATGTGCTTTGCCATGACCTGCTTCTTCTTTCTGTTCTGCGCTATTATGATTGGTGTCCGTAGCAGCAAAGATCCTCGGGCTGGCATTCAAAATGGGTACGTACTTCATCAGTGCTCCTTGGAAGGCATGTGCTCAGGTTTGGGAACTGATGGTGGTTATTCAACTGTTTATTTTATTGCTTTATTTTTACAGATTCTGGTTCTTTAAATTCCTGATCCTTATTGGGATTACTGTGGGAGCTTTTTTCATCCCTGACGGAACCTTTCATACTGGTACTAAATTGCTCTGATGAATTAAAATAAACATTAGTTCTTTGTACTTTTTTTCCTGAGCAGACATTGACTTTTATCGGTGACTCAAGCAAAGTAGAAATAACTGTTTTTATCCAATTCACAGTGTGGTTTTACTTCGGAGTGGTGGGATCTTTCATCTTTATTATAATCCAACTTATTCTCCTCATCGACTTTGCTCACTCCTGGAACAAGGCGTGGGTAGAAAATGCTGAAAATAGTGGCAACAAATGCTGGTTTGCAGGTACATTTTTCCTTTCGATATTTTTTGCCATATCAAACTTTATTCTTCTTGACAAATGACTACTTATAAAATTGGCTAAATATTTTACTCTGGTACAAACATCTGCTCTGCTGTCCGAGTAGCACATGAGTATACTTACAGCTCCACGTTAATAATTGTTTTTGTGATTTCCAGGCCTTCTGTCTTTCACCGTCCTGTACTATGCCTTGGCTTTCACTGCTGTCGTGCTTTTCTACGTTTACTACACACAGCCCGATGACTGCACAGAACACAAAGTCTTCATCAGCCTCAACCTTATTTTCTGCATCATCGTCTCCATTGTCTCTATTCTACCCAAGATTCAGGTATGAACCAGTTTAACGCAGTATGTAAACATTATTCTTCCCCTCCTTTTTGATTGAATTGAGTAATTTTCTCAGATTCAGACAGGTTTTTGATAGAAATATTGTCCGACTACAATCCCTTGGTAGTTGATGTCAAAACTGCTGAACCTTAGTTTACATTTTGCACGATCTTACGTTTTTGCTTTCTTCATTCTACATTTTTCTTGATGTAACAGGAAGCCCAGCCACACTCTGGTTTACTCCAGGCGTCACTCATCTCCCTCTACACCATGTATGTCACCTGGTCTGCAATGACTAACAATCCAAGTGAGTCCCCGGCTCTCTTAAACATTAGTCTCAGCTCTTCTCTGTAGCTTTTGGTTGCATGGTCATCTGTGATTATGCCTAATTTTTTATTTTTAATATATGTATTTGCTAATTATCTGCTGCAGCATTTTGATTATATTGGTAAGTTTTTAATGACATGCTATAGGAACAAAGAAGTACTTTTGTAATAGGAAGTACATATTCTAGGTAGACCTTCCTTGTCTCATCTAAGGGCGCGGTCACACTGGCAATCCGTACCGTGCCCAAGCATGCTTCAATGCTAAAGTCCAGTTCGTTTGTCTAGTGTGACCGCTCCGTATCGTGCTTCGGCGCGGTACACTTCATGCACGAGCACAAGCACGCGGGTACACAACGCTGACAGCCTTCATTATGGAGAAATCCAGAGTTTCATGGCTGTATCTGACTAACATGACTCAATATAAGACACAAAGTAGCTGTCATGTTCTCTGTGTTGTTCTTCGATGTGCGGCCGATTGAGGAATCGGCCGCACGTCTATTTTATTTTTTTATTTATTTACAGCTGTGTCTGATAAAAATGGCTTAAATTAAGCCGCAAAGTCAGTAAAGTAGCTGTCATGCTCTCTGTGTTGTTCTCCAATGTGCAGACGCGGACTGGACTGCGCGTCCGCCTGTTTGTCAACTGAGCACGCTTCATAATAACATAAATGTATGTACATGTATTACGACACCATGTACAAGAGGTAATCATGATTAAGCACGGATAGTCCTGTGTAGTGTGCCGGCCAGCGTGGGAATGGCGCAGCAGGGCGCCAATCGTGCTTGAGTACGGCACGGTACAGATGGCCAGTGTGACCGCGCCCTAACACTGAATAGCACAATAGGCTAGCTTGTGGTGACTGCAGGGTTAGTTATTTTCTATGTGTAGCCAACTGAGCTCAATTTACACTCAACATGACTGTAAAATGCATCCCTACTACTCCCAAAGACGTGGATTTCATCTTTCTTTTAGTATAAGAAAGATGCAAACAATCCATGGTATCCTTGAAAACTGTCATGTTATTTATGTTGCAATACTCACACCCTTGTTGATGGCAAACACAAGAAACATATAGAAAACACTAGTGTAGCCTAAGCCATGTTTAAAAAGAGAACTGTAGTTTCATTATTATTTAAATATAGGGGGGAGTAGGGTAGGAATAAATTGGGATGTGTTTGGGATGGATAGCATTTTTTTAAATAAATGCGATGTACATGTGCTGTAATGAAATGATAAGTGCTCAGTGAAGACACCCTCATCCCAATTATGCTCCTGTGCCCTCCTGATAAGTTACGCAACCTACCTTAAGACCCTTAGCTGGCACAGCTACCAAAGCACATTCCACCTTCTACAGACCCAGGCTCTGTTTATGCGAGCTAACCAGTTAGTGGCAACGCCAGTTTTACCTACCATATTGCATGGCCCCTTCTGGCACCCACAACTCAACCATGTAGACTGATGGGCAGCCGGAGCCAGGATTTCAATTAGGTTGTCAAGTGGGAACCTCCCATAGCCTGTGTTTTGTCCGATTAGTCCCACGACACCCAGAGCCACAACCCGTCCATGCTAGCTCTCACGGCCCCCCCCCAGAACTTCTATATCTTGCCTACCCTACCACATCACAGCCCAAACAGCATTGCCTCCTTCAACAGGCTGAAGGGTACATACAAGCTCCAACTTTTTTACCTGACATCTCCCTTACTGTCTTTTGGATATTCTGTCCTAGCACTGACAGCTGTCCCAGTAATGAGACAGCTCATCTTGCATGGATCCACTACGTCCCACTTCTACTGGACAAACCCTTACTTTCCATCCTCACTGTTCAGCTTCTGGCTCCTATACCTGCATATCTAAGCTTTTTCCTTCCTCTACAAGTCCTCCAAGGGAACCGTCAGTTCTATAAAATCAACTATATGCTGACTTGCACGCCATAACACTATGTCAAGACTCAGATTAGTGAAAACTATTTCCTGTGGCACAACAGTTTTGCCCCTCCCAAATCTACCTGCATCTCCAAATAATTAGCGCTCTTTTAAAGGCCTGACTGGTGCCTGCTTAAAGTCTCCCTCTGTTGTATTTCTCTCCCTTTATAGACAAACTGAAGGCTGCATTCTTTTTCCTGATTACATTTTGAATCCACCTGTCCTTTTACTTTCAATTCCTGTTGCTAAGCTTTTCAACACCTGGTTATGTGGATCGTGGATTGTGACAAACTAATCCTTCAACCTGAAGGAATATGCCTCAAAGTAGCTACCTCTGAACACAATGGGCACCATTGGTTCCTATCTACCCAACGTTTAGGGTTCTGGGTGATGGTAGCACATCACAAGCAGCCCCTCAGGAATTTAACACGACTGTCCTCCATACTCCCCAGGTCCCTTCAACTAAACTTTCCCTACTGTGCACTTTCCCAGTTCATCCACTGTGCTTCCTTAGCCTGCATGCCTTACAACTTCCTCTTGTCAACGTACCAGATCTATTACCGGCTTCCTTCTTTCTCAGGGACCTACTATGGTCAACACCAGTTTGCTAGAGCTAGCTGCACATTAAACTCTGCCTCAGCTTCCTGTACCGCTTGGCTTGGGTTCCATTTCCTCCCTCTAGTTGGATTTGGACCACGTTACTAACTACCTTGTCCTTGCTTTCTGTCCTGACCTTTGCACACTTGAACTTAGACTAGTTATCGGAAGCTGGAGTATCCCTTTCTCATACAATACCACACTACTAAGAGGCAATGGGGTGCTGACCCATGTCAATCCCTGCGTAATACACCTTTAATTGAACATTTTTATTGTATATAAAGTATCTTCTTTCTTATTTAGTGCAACAGTTAATTTACAAAGGAATAATACAATTTACAGGCAGGTTAAACAAGATTAACTTTAGATACCAAGAGATATCTCTTACATCAATTTTAGAAAGTATTTTCACAACCTGTTATATTGTTTTAATTTCTAATATTATGTGTGTTTGATCTCTTAGATCGGAAGTGTAACCCCAGCCTATTAAGTCTGGTGTCGCGCGCCAACACCACCCAACTACCGGGTGACAGCAAACCCGAGGGGGTGCAGTGGTGGGATGCTCAGGGAATTGTAGGTTTGATCATCTTCCTCTTCTGCACTCTCTATGCCAGGTAGGATATAACAGTGCAAAAAAACAATATAACAATATATACATTTTATTTTTACATTTTCATTATACTGTCTTTTCTGTCTCCTTCCTAGTATCCGCTCGTCCAGTAATGCCCAGGTCAACAAGCTGATGCAGACGGAGGAGGGCGGAGGCTCAGGTGGAGAGGGGGTGGTGGGAGAGGACGGCATTCGCAGGGCTGTGGACAATGAGGAGGAGGGAGTCACTTACAACTACTCCGTCTTCCACTTCCACCTCTGTCTAGCGTCTCTGTACATCATGATGACTCTCACCAACTGGTACCAGTAAGTATCCGTCCTCACCAAATTTATAAACCGATAACATAGAGTCCCCAAAGATTATAGCACAGGACTTCATTGTAAGTGAGTCTAATAGGAAAAAAAAGCACTTTTTTGATACTAGATTTGAAGGATGTATAATTAAATCAGACTAAACAGAGCAGATGTGATGCTCAATATTGACTTTTACCGGCTACACCTGCAGTGCACACGGTGAAGTGTGAGTCACAGGCATGAGCCCTTGCTGCATATCAGTAATAAATGAGTACATCTTAGGGGAAAAACATGAAGTCATTTGTATTTCAGTCAGATTGTATACATTGCATACATTTGTTGTAATACCGGCATCTTTTCAGATGTTGCACATTCAGTGTAGGCCTATGGTCTGGCCACAAGGGGGTGCAATACTTCAGCTCAAAGTTATCCATTTTAGAATACAGTCTGAATGTGGATTTCCGTTCACATTAAAATGTAAAAAATATCTGTATATAAAATTCCTTACATGCGTTATGTAGAATTTACTAAAAGGTACCTGTCCCCCCCCTGCAGACCTGACACCAACACCAAGACCATGCAGAGCAATATGCCGGCTGTGTGGGTGAAGGTGAGCTCCAGCTGGCTTGGCCTTGGCCTCTACCTCTGGACCCTCGTCGCCCCTCTCCTCTTCCCTGACAGGGATTTCAGCTGAGCGTGATTCTCCTAGTGACTTTGTTTGTTGTTGTTTTCTTTCTTTTTTTCTAGCACAGGGTAAAAAGCAGTTTGAAGGATGCTTTAAAAGGAAAGATATTGTACAGAGGAAAAAAATGGTTTGATTTCTTTTCATTCATTGCCTCTGCTTTTAGTGCATCTATTTTTGTGCTATTCTAAGTATGATTTAGTGTATAACAATCACTACAAAATAAGTTATTTTTTTTAGTTGGCTTGATTAATGATTGCTTTGGTTATGAGAAATGATTTTCTTTGCCAAATACTTACCTTGTAAAGCGACTCCCTCCCCTCTGCCTGACGTGGTTGTGATATGACTCAATGAGCTGTTTTTTATCTTATAGCTGAATATTAGTTACTGGACTATCGCATAGACTCTGCAACAAGTCCCTTAGTCAATACCTCAAAAGTACATTACAGGATCCCCTAATGACGTGGGTCATCAGACTCTTCTAATTGGTTGGGTTTGAAGTCCCTATGATTAGAGAACATGGCATGGCATGTTGAGCTGGGGGCGACAGGGGGAATCCTGCAGTAAGCCCCCGTTTGAGGTGAGTGTGAGGCTTAGATAAGACACACCCAAAAGATAAGAACCGGGCTTCCTTTTTGCTGCTAGACTGGAAGTAAATCCACCTCGTCACACTTTCAGTCCTAATAGACCGTCAGTTTAATCTCAGCTCTTCCATGTCTTCGCCATCCAATAGTCATTTATCAGCGGTGCTAACCCTATCCGTGTCTGATTGGATATTGGTCTTATGCAGCCACGTGCAACAGTCTGTACCTGTAAAACTGTCTGTTTGCATAGCTTAGCAGTCAGCATCATGTGATGTGCAATGGTACCATTCAAGAAGTGACCACCTGAGTGCTCTAAAAATGCCACTATGTCCAGAATGTTGCAGAGCGTGGTATTGAGGTTTTTCTTTTTAAAGGGACTTTTAATCGTTGAAGCTTCAAAATGATAATGATGCATGTCAATGCTGATCAGTTGCTGTTAAGTGGTACTGACTTTCATAGGTTGTTGATGGCTGTAATAATGGTCCAGTCATTTTATGCATAATATGGAAGTTACCTTGATTTCAATATTAACAGAAAAAGTTAAAGTAGAATAGTTTGTACCTGTGAAAAAGAGTTTTCAAACGATCCTGAAAATGTAAACTTAAGTGTTATATTCTTTCCTGACATTTCAGTGGCCACATCAGTCAAGTATTGTGAACGGACTAAGTGTTGATAAATGTACGTCTTTCATTTGTATTCATTTTAAAACATGTCTGATGTATTGCACATTTTATATAATTATTGTCCCACTAATGAGATTGTTTATGCAGAATTGCTGTATTAGTTCAACACATGTAACATTTCCAAACACTATTAAGTGCCTTTTGTAGTCCTGGGTTTCAAACTGAACTGATCACTGATGCTGATGTGTGCTTATTATGCCTTGCCTTACACTGGTGTGGAGTTAATCATTGCATGCCATATAATAAGGCACAGGCCTCTGTCTGGAATTAATATGATTATGATTAATGTATAAACACTGCTTTTCAAGATGGAAATCTGTCATTCACTACTTTTCTCCTGATGCAGTCTTTATAGATGTTTAATAGTTTTAGGAAAGAGTCCTATGAATGTTAACATTGATTCTGTTTCCCTCATCTATACAGTGTGAAGATTAAGGTACTAAATATTTCATGCGGCATGACAGGAGCCAGTAAACTGACACATTTGATTTAGTTTCACCTTACATTTGCTGGACACTAATTGTTGGTAAAATTAATGTGATTTAAGGCACCTTATGGATGTTATTGATCACACATGTCTAAATATCTCTAAAGAGTCTGGTAGTGTGATAGCACTTTCTTTTACTTCTGTGCTTAACCCCATAGATTAAGGTCATGAGGCACAGGAGTTGGGGACTAAGGAGGAGATAGAAAGGACATCACAAGCACAAAGGACAACTCCTCAAAACAAGCTAACCAAATGCTTGACTCAATGAGGGATTTCTTTATCATCAGTGTCCGGGTTTTGTCTCCATCTGTGGGCAGCTGCGTCTTGGCTTCTCACCACGTCGGTCGCTACATTCAGTGACAAAAAAAAACTTTTTTCAAAAACATGGGTAAGGAGTATACATATACTCTATCAGTAATTCAGTGTCTTTTGGAGTACTGCAGGTGGCTTATCCAGGTTTACTAAAACAAGGCTTGAAGCAGTTTATTTTCACATGCCGAATGTGTAGCAGTGACTCTTCAAAACCCCATTCATAACCATATGCAAGTACCAAATGCTTCAGATCAATCTATTCCTGTTTGATGGCTTGTTGTATTGGCCACTTAAAGCTCCTGCAGAGGTTTTGTTTTGTGTTGATTGAGTGCCCCCAGTGGACAAAGTGGTACATGGTATCATTGTCCTTTACATGCTTAGGAAGTGTTTTTGGATGAAAGTGGAAAATGAAGAAAAGGTTTTTTTAGGCATTGTGGTGTTAATCACCATGTCTGACACCTGGCTCACTGCAGAGTTTACAGACATGAAAAACAGTCTTGTAGAAGTGATGAATCTTATCGTCAATGTTCTTGCTGCTTTTGTAGGCCATAAAGAGGCGTCAGAATTAATTTCAGTCTGTTTCATAACTAGATGAAAACTCCTCATGGGAATTGTAAACTCTGCTTTTCTCCCCTGGGTTTTGTGACTATAGATGCATTCACATGAACCTCTAATGCCCTGCCCATTTGATAAGTGTTTGCTGTTCCAGTTAACTTCCTTTAACGGAAGTCCAAAGCAAAACTGAAAGCATGTGCACTGGTGTATCCTTACCTCTGACAAGATTGCAGCTCCCTGACTGTAAATTGAAGCAGTAAAGTTCTTGACCTGTCCCCTATGCAGCTTTTGCCAGCGCCTGCTGCCTCTGCTGTGTTATTTTCTTCTCCCTTGGCTTGCAGACAGAGCCCTGTTGGTTTTGGCAGCTGCAGTCACTCAATCCAGTTGGCACTGTCTAGAAAAGTCCAGGATACACCAACACTGTCGACTTCCACCCTCCCACAAACCCACCCCTCGCTCAGCCTATCCACGACCATCCTGGGCTGATTGAGTGTTGCATAGTTAAGCTGTAAGAAGAATATGTCAAAAACACACAACTCTCAACATAAATCTCTACAAGGACAAAGAACAAAGAAAGAAAAGCAATTGTGACGTCAGTTTTGGGGCGTCATCAAAATCAAATGCACTGCCATTATACCAAATACCAAACTGATGATTTTTTTGTGAGCCTTCCAAATGAAATCTGTTGTTTCACTTTCACTTACAGCCTTAACAGAATCCCACTCGTCATTCTTTAAAGAACAGCCCCAGCTCTCGGAATCTTAGCTTTTTATATTTTCATTTCTTTATTGACAGTAACATCTACAGTTCAAGAGTATATACTGGATTGAGTTTCATGAGATTGAGGAACTTTTTGGTGTGCACACAAGGCCCATCTGAATTGGATGTTTTCAAGCTCAGCAACATCTGAGAAAAATGTGTCGTAAATTGCTATTTTATTTCCCTGTTATCAGGTGAACAGTTATCAACTTTTTATGCCCATGGCGCTCCATGTTTGGCCATTTGCTCTGGTGTCATAAATCCCACTTTATTTCCTCTGTTACCATCAGATGCAATTTGTCGCTGTAATGAGAGATCACAGACTGTAATGTGCTGATTATGAACCACTTAGTGCAGCTCTAATGCCACGCTTGGTTAGGAACCCTGGGATGTTTTAATTGCAGATTGACTCAAACAATGGTTATCAGTTGCTGTGTTATCCCTGACCTTAATCTCCACTGTCTTTCCCCCACATTAGTCTGAAAATGTCAGCGTTAAGCACTCACTTTTCAGGAAAAGGTCATTCTGTTGAGTGGATCACCACTCTATTTCAGCTTTATCTCAATGTTTGGTAACAGGTTCTGATGCTGATTTGGATAAACATGGGGTTTTAGTGCATCCCTGACCACCTCTTTGACAGAATGACTGGAAATGGCTGTCTAAGGTGTAATTGGGTTTTAAGAGTGGGATCCAGGTCCATTAAATTATGTGCTGCATGCAGGGAAGCTAATTGAGTTGAAGCCCTGCTGGCACACTGCATGTGCACTGGAAACATTTACCCAACATTAAGTCCCAATTAGCCTTTTAGGATGGGAAACCTGTCGCTCGATGATGGGAAGTGAAGACACTCACCTGTCAAATCCACAGTGTGGAGTTTCTCTAATGAGTCAAATCTTTGCACTATAATATCGTATTACTCTCCAATAAACTGCTGAACTTCCAGGGTCTTTTTCCGTTTCTTTGTTTGGTTGCGTCTCTTCTCTCACATTGGCTGCAGTGCAATGCAGTCAAACTAAGTCAAAAAAAAAAACTCTGAAAGCCTAAGTGTGAACTCCACTGCGCATGCTCCCCCTCAGCTTAGATGAGCGGCTAAAGCAGTTACATAATAGTGAGTGCAGCCGGCGTCTGCTGTGAGCCAAATGCCAGGCCAGTGTGGTTACATAAGCCCGTTAGAGTCATATTGTAGCAGCACGGAGCGCTCGCACCACAGCGTGTCCCTACACTCCGTCCAGCGTCTCCTGCTCTGTCTCTCACCTCCTCCTACTGTCTTTCTTTCCTCCCTTTTTTTTTGTTTGTTTTTGCAACACCCCTCCCCTCTTTCCTTTCCTCCACAGTTTTCTCTTTCCTCTCCTCTCTCTTTTGTCCGGGTACCTTCTGCAACACCAGGAACAGAGTTAGCGTGCTGGGTGCAGATACATTAACAGTTCTTAAAAAGAAAGGCACTCAATGCAAAAGGAGTTAAATGTGACGTATTCCTCTATTTAATCTGAAAGCACCATCGCTTTCAGGTGAAAGCTGTAGTGTGCAGCAGGTCCCAACCCCCCGCCCCCACCTGTGAGCTCTGCTGCATACGGGCCTTTAAGAGCACCGTTTGATCTCCACGCGTGCACCACTCACAGTTTCCCTCTGTGACCTTTACTGTATCTGGCCCTCATCACCCCCTTCTAGTCTGCACCTCAAGTAAGAGCAGGTCTGGCAGAGTCGGCCACCAGATCAGCAGGAAATCCACTCAGAGCTCTGACGTGTGCAAAGGATTTCATAATGCAGCCCCTGAGCCTTCAGCAGTTCACACAGTCATCCAGGACAAGTTAATTGACATGGCCCTTAGATCCTGACCTCCATTATATCTCTCTGCTGTGTGTGATGCAGTGTCAGCATCACTTACAGTGGGGCTATTCATTCTTGCGGTGTAGAAGGAAGGTGTGAGGTGCTGTAGTCTAAGTGTGTGGAGGTGAAATGTTGCAGCTGAATCATCGAGTTATAGCGAGCGGAAGCAGTTCAGATCAGTTTGTGCATCACGATTGCTTCAATCACTCTCCCTTAAAAGACTCTGCAAAAGGCTGCCTGGCTAATTAGAATTAATAACATTAACCAGGAACTGCTTCTTTAAACCAATGGCTGCTGCTGCCTCCTCATGATTATTCATGAGGCGGGCTCGACGCGCCAGTTCACTGGTGGAGACTGAAATGGGGCGGCGCCCACCGGACCTGTCGTGCGGGGTGGCGCCGCGGAGTGTGTTTGGCGTAGGGCGAGATGTTGTTTTGTTGTGGCGATCAGCTGAATGTGGCATCGCTGTTCAGCCTGACACAACGGTGGGAAGCACCCAGAGCCCCCCTGGCTCCCCCTGCGCTCAAACGCAGGCAGCGACAGCAGCTCTATCCGGCACAGCGCAATCCAGGAAATGCGGACTTCTGGCCCTTTCGCTTCGGGATAAATGGCTGCAGCGCACACACTGAAGAAAGCTGGTAAATATTAACTCTCACATCAGTGCCTGTTTATTAGTTAGTTTAGGTTGTGTCAGTATGGGTGTCAAATTGAAATTGTGAAGTTCCGCGCAGGACCGTGCTTTCACATTAAGAGTGTGACATGAAGTTGGGCAGTGTCGTCATGTGTCAAAATCAAACGTGATGAAAAAGCTGAGGATGTGCTTCATGCAGACTTCAGCAGCGGTCAGATCAGAGGGATCAGACTGGTCCATAAACGCGCGTCTAGGAGTTGCGCCGGGGGCGCTGCACTGCACGCGTCCAGCTGACAGCATATGCTTCATCATGTTCTTCCATTCACCCCGTTTGTCCTATATAATAAACCGAGCGAGGAGAGCAACAGTGCGCGAGGACGCACGCAGGCTACGCACAAGTTTAAGATTCACGATGAACTCCTTTGCGACGGGCTACACCTACACGCGGGAGATTTTTTTTAGCAGATGACATCATACTTTTAGTAGCCTACACAGTTAATCGGGGTTTATGTGATAAAGAGGTAAAGATGACCCCCACAGGTTTATTTTGGCAACTCTTCTCTGTTTCTGTTATGGTGTTTCACATTATGCAGCATAAGGGCAGTATTATTGTGGTAATGGATGTTATCTGACATGTCTTTCTATTTGAAAGTTTCCTTAAAAGTATTTTTTTACAATGAATATGCTGAACAGAGTGACAAGTCAACTCTACAAGTAAATATATCTATCTATCTATCTATCTAT